ATTAATTTTATATAAATAAAATCATATCATTTCCAACTTTTAAATAAAAAAAACAAAACTAAAATTAATACACTCATGATCGAGTAATAAACCTTTTTTTTTGGCCAATTATTTTTGTAACACACTGTATATCTCCAATATTTGGGTTATTTTCTGAGAGCTATTTATTTGATTGGTGCGCCTTATTAATTAGTGTAACATTTATTAAATTGTACTGGTTTATTTCTTGTTGAGTTATTCCGTGATAATAGTTTCCAAATTTTCACTTCGTGATACATGTAAATCATTTCCGATTTATATGTTCGTTTCCCGTGATTTATGATTTACTATTTTACAATACCAAATAAATGAACTTTACATGGACTAAGGTAATAAATTTTACTTACTTGCTGATCAGAATGTGGTAAATGAACATTTTGGGCTCAATCATAACTATAATGAGCAGTAGCATCAATGCTGCAATATTGTGTTTTACCATTTGAATAATTTTGATTAATCAATTTTCTTTGTTCTTCTGCTAATTTGGTATTTTTATTATAATAATTTCTTTCTAATTTTGCCTTGGACAGATGTTCTTTAAATTTTTTGAGTAATTCTTTAGCTTCTTCTTCTTGATGAGAATTATAATGTAGACCATCTCTGAAGTGTTGACAAGTATCACACAACTCAGTCCTGGAACTCATAATTTGAATTTCTGGTATCAATTGATGTCATAATTTTCTGAAGGCATCATATTTTAAGGATTTCAAATTACTATCTTCTTCTAGACCAGCCAGAAAATCTCTGTGGACTGATTTATAACTCATTTCAGCTGGTAAGAATACAATTGATTGAGTTATTCTATTGATGCTTCTTCCTGGACTTAGCAATCTATGGACTTCAGCATAATTTTCTAGAAAATTCTTTACTACTTCTGCAACATTTTTATCAATCACCATTTTAGTTTTTCATTGAGGCATTCTTTTAATATTACCATGAATTCTTGGTAAAAGACCATTATTTATTAGATGATGTCTAATATTTTCAAAATAAGTTCTGCCAATCCCTAACATATTGAGGTAAGTTTCTTGACAAAGAGGTGTATTATGATCTCAATGATAGAAAGTTTTTTTATTATATCTGGTTTTCTTTTTATGGCGTCTACTAGTGCTTGTTGATCCACCATCCATTGCTTTAATCTGTGCCATTAAAAATATGTCTTGTTCAAACTTGGAAAGGACTCCCTTAATTCTGCAAATTCTTCCTTGGGAATTCTTGAAGAACAACCACAATCACAACCTTTTCTAAAAAATCAATTGCCTTTTGATATTCATTAGAACCATTATACTTATTATTACTTTTCATATACACCTATCCCTATATATATAATTTTATAATTTTATGTTCACTTTGTAAGTTTTCATTTATTTTAAAATTGAAATTGGTCCTGTGGTGATAAGCAAATTAAATTTGAGTGGATCTGCAAATAAATATCAGAAATATTTTCAAGTATATATTCAATAATTGATATTGTGATATAGTAAAATGAGGACCGATAGAGAGGTCCCACGTTGCTGATCCAACCAAACCAAACTACTGCGGAAGTCACGTGAAAATCGAATCATCTTTATTTTTATTTTTAACGTTATATTTTGTGAAATACTGTGCCACACATTGCGCAGTATCACACGCACAATTACTCATATTCATATTTCTATATTTATATTTCAAGAATTTGTTCAGCTGATGTAAATATTTACTTTAAATTATTAATTATTATTTGTAATGATCAGTTGACCCAAATATTTATTTTATATTAATAAGCATAGTTTATTGGACAAACTAGAGTAAAAGTCATGTTATTTGTAATACCCCAAGAGGTATAAAAGGA